GCGTGAAGACAGACGTGGTTGGGGCACCTCACAGCTTCGAAAGGGCCACAGGGGCTGCAGTTTCTCGGTGTGTTGGGTGTGACTGCTGTGAGCTGGCGGTCAGCGTGTAGGTTCTTGGAAACATCCGGATTACAAGCCCAGGTGCTGCTTCATCTTGGGTTGAATGTGGAGGTCGTGTCCTCTCAGCTCCTCTCTTCTCCACCCTCTTCTCTGCTTCCACTTCAGGTTCACTTGCTGAAGGACCAGCTGGCGGCGGAGGCGGCGGCGAGGCTGGAGGCGCAGGCCCGCGTGCACCAGCTCCTGCTGCAGAACAGGGACGCCCTGCAGCACGTGTCCCTGCTGGTCAGGCAGGTGCAGGAGCTGGAGCTGAAGCTGTCAGGACAGACCACCAGTAAGTCAGGCCCGTCTGCCGGCCCTCGCTGCCTGGGCTGGGCCACCACAAGCTCTTTCCCAAAAGCTCTTGGCGGTGCTGACCTGCTTGGCATTCCAGCAGAAACCCAAGGTCCACATGGGGGACCAGCACGCGCAGGGCCTGACGGGTCCTGGCTGCTCTGGCCCAGTGCCCAGGCTGCCCGTCACCATCACCATCACCAGCATGTTCCCTGCCTCCCTGGGCCCTCAGCTCTCCACCCAGGCCCCTCCCCCCTCCACCCAGCCCCCCCCCCGACACACACACACACCGCCAACACACACACACTCCGGGGACAGGCTGGCTGGCATGGCTCGCTGGTCTCCCTGGCTTTCCCTCCCGAGCACCGAGAGAGGCGGAGGCGCCGCTGGGCGGAGCTGTGCCTGGCACCGGCCTCCGTGCCCAGCGGTCTCCGGGCCAGACCGGGAGTCGCAGCCCCTCGCCGCCCTTGGCCCCTGGGGCTGACCGCTCCATGTGTCCAGCTCAGAGACGAGGCGGTGGCTCGGCAGGTTGGGGACGAGAGATGTGGAGCCAGGTCAAACCCGGTCTAATTGCAAAACTAGTGCTTTTCCTGTGACCCCACAGTCCCCCAGACACCCGTGGCTTCCTGAAAACACGCCTCCCAGGCCTGCCTGCGGCGGGCTGCAGGTTGCAGGCTGGCTCTGCTTGTGCAGCCCAGAGCCCTGGCTGGAGCCTCTGGGTTTTTATTTTTGTCCCTTGAGCGCCCCCCTGCAAGGTGGTTAGTCTGATCCCAGGCCCCCCTTCCCCGCACCGACCCCCAGGGCTCCTCCCCTGCAGCCTGGCGGTGGCTGTGGGCGGACGGGCTGGGGGCGTGCCTGACCCTCGCCCTCTGTCCGCAGTGGGCTCCCAGGACAGCCTGCTGGAGATCACCTTCCGCCCGGGAGCCCTGCCCGTGCTCTGCGACCCCACGACCCCCACTCCAGAGGACCTGCCTTCGCCACCCCTGGGCGCCTGCCCGGCTCTGCCTGCAGGCAGCCCCTTAGGTAGGCGCGACTGCTTGGTGAAGCTGGAGTGCTTCCGGCTGCCGGGGGCGCGGGGCCCGCCGCTGGGTGGCCTGGAGCTGCTGCGCTTCCGGGAGTCGGGCATCGCCTCCGAGTACGAGTCCACCACGGACGAGAGCGAGGAGGAGCCGCCGCGCCTGCTGCACGTGCGGCCGCGCCCGGAGCCGGGCGACAGCCTGGAGGACACGGCCGCCGTGTAGGACGGCGGTCCGGCTGCAGCCGGTGCTGTTGCAGGGCACCGGGTTTTGCTCCAGAGGGTGAAGTGGAAGCCATGGGAGCCCCCGAGGGGATGGCTGCCCGCCAGGGCGGCTGCAAAGTGGCGGCTTTGGCTTTGGGACGGTCCCGGCCCGCAGGCTCCTCCCGTGTCTGAGGCCTCCGTGGTCTGGTCGGTGGGAGGGAGGCCGCTGCCTCGCGCCCCGGGGGCGGGTGGCCTGCAGGTGGGGTGCTGAGCAGGGGCGTGCCAGGCGGGAGAGGGGGCCTGCTCCCGGACGCTGTTTCCCAGGAGACGGTGTGGCCTCTGCTGCCACCTCACCCTCTGCCCACGCCCTGTGAGTGAGCCGCCCGCCGGAGGCAGAGGTGGTCCTGTCCTCTGAGCCCTCTCCCACCCTCCGCTGGTCCCTCCGCTGGACAGTGGTGGTCGGTTCTTACTGCAAAATGCCCACCACAGGCTGGTAGCTGACCTGCTATGTCCAAGGTCCGGAATCACTGCCGCTTGCCAAGACCCCTGCCTCGTCTCCGTGGGCCGGGCCTCGAGCCGCCGGCAGTCCTCCCACCTGAGCCACTGGGGCCCGGCCCACGGAGACTGCTGGCGGCCGGGGGGGGGCGGGGGACAGGCTCCTGTGCTGCCCGAGGGCCGGTCAGGGCAGAGGGTTCACGGGCATCCAAGGCGGTTGGACCATCCGGCAAGATGCCGTCGGCCTGTGGCGCACAGTCGGCGGGGTGTGTGTGCGTGTGCGTGTGCGTGTGCGTGTGGGAGGGAAGGGGTGCGTCGGCGTGTGCGTGACAGACAGGAGCGGACAGATGTCCAGCGTGTGCATTGGTCGAGAGGGTGGCCTGTATTTGCTTCCTCTTCCAGTTCGCAGTTCACACTGGAGGTGGGGCGGACCTCAGGGCGGAGGGAGCAGGGTGTGCGACCTGGCACCGGAGGGAGGACGTGGGCACGGGGCTCCGGGCGCGGCCCTCTTCCGCCCAGAGCTGAGCGTGGGGCAGGCCTGGCTCTGAGGCCGGCGGGTGCCCAGGTCGCCGTTGGACGTGATGGGTGAGGAGGAACAGTCTGTGAGAGGACCCTGCGGAGCCATGGAGGGCACAGCATTGGGGGCTCGGCTCCCTGGTCCTGCCGGACACCCACCCCTGCCCTCCGAGTGCCCTGGGACCCGAGGCCGCCGCCCCGCCGTCTGCAGGCGGCCGCACCGGGCGGAGTGGGACTTGGGCGATGGAGGGCCGGTCTGTCCTCCCGCCCTGCCTCCCCTCTAAGCCCGGCCTGCCCTCCATCCTGCTCGGCCGCGCGTGGAGGACGAGTGGACACGGGCACCGGCCTTGGGGTCCAGCCCACGAGGCCTGCAGTGCGGACGGACAGACAGCACCTCCCCGCAGGGCCCCACACAGCCCTTGGCGCCTGCTTCTCTCCGCTGCTCCTGTGCGCGGGTCTCTTCCACTCCGCCTGGCTCCCCTTCTGTGTCCCCTCCACGGCCATGTGGGTGGCTGGGCCTGCGCTCCAGACGTTTCTTCCTGTAAGTGCACTTACTCCGGGGCCGCCGCTCGCCTGCGGCTCCACTAATAAACCTTCTTACTCTCACCGCTCTCCTGTCGTCCTCTTGCTCTGTCCCCGCCCTGCCCTGGCCGGGACACTCCCCCGGCTGAGGTTCGAGGGGAGTTCACGTGACACGGTTATGTGGACACGGACCGGCCTGCATGCTCACCCAGAACGCTTTGCTTCCCCAGGGGACCGTGTCCCTGTCGGGCTGTCTGTCAGCGCAGGAGGGTGTTGGCCGGTGGAGGTGGTAGTGGGCAGCAGCCAGGGTGAGTGCTGGGGAAAGCTGGATGTCAGCCGTTGGAGGTAACACTGAGACCACCAGGCGACAGCAGCCCAGCAGCTCCCTGACTAGTTGTCTCGTGTGGGTCAGTGGATTCTGAGTGGGTGCATCTTAGAGAGTCTGCTCCAGGGCCACGCCAGCTGCCCAGCAAGGACTGTGGAGGGCGGGAGGGAAGGGACAGCGGAGGTAAGGGACAGCGGGAGGGGACAGCAGGAAGGGACAGCAGGAAGGGCCAGCGGGAAGGACAGCAGAGGGAAGGGACAGAGGGAAGGGACAGCGGGAGGGGACAGCGGGAAGGGCCAGCGGGAATGACAGCAGAAGGAAGGGACAGCGGGAAGGGATAGCGGGAAGGGACAGAGGGAAGGGACAGCGGGAAGGGACAGCGGGAAGCGATAGCGGGAAGGGCCAGCGGGAATGACAGCAGAAGGAAGGGACAGCGGGAAGGGATAGCGGGAAGGGACAGCGGAGGGAAGGGACAGCGGGAAGGGACAGCGGGAAGGGACAGCGGAGGGAAGGGACAGCGGGAAGGGACAGCGGGAAGGGACAACAGAGGGAATGGACAGCGGGAAGGGACAAAAAGAGGGAATGGACAGCGGGAAGGGACAGCGGGAAGGGACAGCGGGAAGGGACAGCGGGAAGGGACAGCGGGAAGGGACAGCGGAGGGAAGGGACAGCGGGAAGGGACAGCGGAGGGAAGGGACAGCAGAGGGAAGGGACAGCAGAGGGAAGGGACAGCGGGAAGAGCCAGCAGAGGGAAGGGACAGCAGAGGGAAGGGACAGCGGGAAGGGACAGCGGAGGGAAGGGAGAGCGGGAAGGGACAGCAGAGGGAAGGGACAGTGGGAAGGGACAGCAGAGGGAAGGGACAGTGGGAAGGGACAGCAGAGGGAAGGGACAGCGGAGGGAAGGGACAGCGGAGGGAAGGGACAGCAGAGGGAAGGGACAGCGGAGGGAAGGGACAGCAGAGGGAAGGGACAGCGGGAAGAGCCAGCAGAGGGAAGGGACAGCAGAGGGAAGGGACAGCGGGAAGGGACAGCGGAGGGAAGGGACAGAGGGAAGGGACAGCAGAGGGAAGGGACAGCGGGAGGGACAGCAGAGGGAAGGGACAGCGGAGGGAAGGGACAGCGGGAGGGACAGCGGAGGGAAGGGACAGCGGGAAGGGACAGCAGAGGGAAGGGACAGCGGGAGGGACAGCAGAGGGAAGGGACAGCGGAGGGAAGGGACAGCGGGAGGGACAGCGGAGGGAAGGGACAGCGGAGGGAAGGGACAGCGGGAAGGGACAGCAGAGGGAAGGGACAGAGGGAAGGGACAGCAGAGGGAAGGGACAGCGGGAGGGACAGCGGAGGGAAGGGACAGCGGGAGGGACAGCGGAGGGAAGGGACAGCGGAGGGAAGGGACAGAGGGAAGAGCCAGCAGAGGGAAGGGACAGCAGAGGGAAGGGACAGCGGGAGGGACAGCGGAGGGAAGGGACAGCGGGAGGGACAGTGGAGGGAAGGGACAGCGGAGGGAAGGGACAGCGGGAAGGGACAGCAGGAAGGAAGGGACAGCGGGAAGGGACAGCGGAGGGAAGGGACAGCAGGAAGGAAGGGACAGCGGCTGGGCAAGTGGGCAGCTGAGAAGCCAGGCTTTAGTGGCAGCCTCATCCGCGTGGAGGGCAGAGGCCAGTGGGGGGACCTGGTGGGGCCCAGGTCTGCGGGGAAGTCAGGGGCTCAGGGCGGGGTGGCCTGTGACGGGCGTGGCAGGTGCGGGGTGAGGAGTGGGGAGACCTCATTCTGAGATGCCCTGCAGAGCAGAGAGGATCGGAGCGGCCGGGCGGGGCTTGCTGGGCACACCTTCCGCGTCCCAGGCCCCGGGAGACCACACAGTGCGACAGGGCAGCACCTGTCCTCAGGCCGAAACCCCGGAGGTGGCACCCGCGGGACGGCTGGGTGCCTCCCTGGGAGCTCCCTCTTGGCGGCTCTCCCCAAGCCCTGGGTGGTGCGAGTCCGGTGTGGGCATGGGGTTGCTAGGCAACTGGCAGCCAAAGGGGATGGAATGGGTGGGACTGGACGGGAGCGGCGGTGCCTGACGGACTGCGCGGGCTGTGCTAACGGGTTTATTGGCCTCTCCCGGAGCGCAGCGGGGCTCCCACCGGCTACTTGCGGGCTGGGCCTCCGCCCAGAGGCAGCCGGTCGGCGGGCCGGGCCCACAGCGCCTTGAGCTTGCGGTAGAAGACGTGGCAGCTGAAGCCCTCCCGGAAGCCGCACTTGAGGTGGCTCTTGAGGGAGCACAGCGTGGGGTACATGCGGCAGCAGGCCGCACACTTGAAGCCGTTCTGCTGGGCCGGCAGCCCCCGCGAGGCCCTCAGGATGTCCTGGGAGCTGATGTGGTCGGCGTCCCCGGGCCGGGCCTTGGCCTCGCGGGGGCTGGGGGTGTCGGGGGAGGAGGAGGATGAGCGCAGGCTGTCGGCCGCGTCCTCGGGGAGGCAGCTGTCGCCCCGGCCCTCGTCCCGCGGCGGCTCGGGGAGGCCGTGGGCCTCCCGGGGGCTCTCCTTGTCCACGCACACGAAGTAGCTGTAAGGGGAGAACCACGGCCGGTAGATGGTGCAGCTCCGCCTCGGCTGCTCCCCATTCTGGGGGTCCCCCAGCATGTAGTCTGCAAAGGAAAGAGCCGGTCTGAGCCTGGGAGCCTGGGCGCCGCCGGAGCCGTGGGCAGCGGGCGGGCGGGGCCCGTCTCCTGCTGGGAGGCAGTGTGACCGGTGGGTGGAGGCGCCCATCACCGCCCGGCAGCTCCCAGGTGCTCCTCTCGGGACAGACCACCAGGTGGGACACCGCGGCCCCTGCCACAGCCCAGCAGCAGCCCTGGGAGGGAGAGGAGAGGCCGGGCCGGGAGGGAAGACAGAGGCGGCTGCACGGGGAAGGCAGCCCCCGCCTGTCCCAGGCAGTCCCGGGCCTTCTTCTCTCACACCCGTCCTGGGGCTCACCTGGCGCCCACCCCCGGGGGCTCACCTGGCGAGAGCACCACCCCTTGCCGCAGAGCGCTGCTCGGGTGCGGGGGCGGCGGGGCCTGCGCTGGGCTGGGTGCGTCCGTGGGGAACGCAGTCTTGGCAATGTCTGGGGACAGAGGAGATGCTCTTAGAGCCGAGCGAGAGGGGATGTCCTCCTCCTGGACCCGCCGAGACAGACCTCCAGGCCCCCTCGGGCGCCGGCACCAAGTGCAGTAAACATGGCCTCCTCAGACCTGTGGCTGCGGCCTGGCCCCTCCTGAGGACAGGAGGCGGCTTCTATGGACCCATCTCCCCGCAGCAGAGTGAGCAGGGGGCCCGCTGTCCGTCAGCTGGTGGCTGGGGCTTGGATCCAAGCTCCAGGACAGGGCCCTGCTCGGTCCGGCCAGGCGTCTCTGTGCGGGAGCCGGGCCACGGGGTGGGGATCCTGCCCTGGGCGGTCCCGTAGCAGAGCCGGCAGCACCCTCCACCCTGCGTTTCTGTGGCCATCCCGGCAGGACCCACCTGGCAAGCCGGGGCCTCGTGGGGACATGAGGTCAGGAAAGGGGCTCAGGGCCGAGGAGGGGACCCGGGGCCCCGAGATGCTGAGGAGCGAGAAGCTCTCCATACTCTGCCTGTCGCCGGCACGCTCACACGCCTGCCCCAGGAGGCTCCCGGTTGTCCGGGCGATGAGCATTCTGAGCACGGGCGACCTCACAAGCAGCCCCAGCATTCCGCCGCAGCGGCTCACGCTCAGGGCCTGTGGCGGGAGGCCTGCCCTTCCCAGAGACGCCCCACCTGTGGCTCCTGCAGCTGCCCGGATGGAGGTCCCAGCGCCAGGGCCCGGCCCCCGTGGGGCTGTCTGCGGCCACTCTGCTCCTTCGTTCCATGTCGCTTCGTTCCCAGCTCTGGGGGCCTCTGTCCTCTGAGGTCCTCCCTGCTCTTCTCCACACCTGCTCCACCTCGGCCCGGCCTCGCCAGGGGAGTCTGCTGTTTCAGTGTCTGGGTTTTTCCCAGTCTTGGTATGTTTTCCCCATGTTCTTTGGAAAGAATTCCAAACTTATAAAAAGTTGTGAAAGTAAAACTAGTACAACGCACACGCATAGGCCCTGTCCCCCGATCCTCCTAACGGCGCCATCTCCCTTGTTCTGCGGTCCCGCCCTCCCCTGTGCACAGCGCGCCCTTCCCGGGCTGCTGGAAGCCCTGCCGCACAGAGCCGCTTTGTATGCTGATGCTCCTGCCTCGTCTCGGGAAGGGAGGGGCTAAGTGGCGGTCCGCCTGCTTTTAGCAAGCGCGGCTTACTCCACGCTGCTTGTGGCAGGCAGCCTGGCCTGTGGGGGCTGTGAGGGGGGAAGGGGGCAGGGCCGCTTGTAGGTCAGCTGGAGGCACCCCGTTCTAGACAACTATGAAGGGTGGCCACTCAGTGCGTACCGCGCTTCAGGGCACGTTTGTGCCAAGGAAGCTCGCCCACTTGGGGAGCAGCAGAGTGTGGGCGCGCCCGGGCCTCTGTGGCTGCCCCGGCTGCCATCCGGTCTGGGTCATGCGCGGCACCAACGTCTGCAGGACGGCACCTCTGTGAGACTCACCGGGCCTGGGAGCCGATGGGATGGGAGCTGGTGCGGTGGGAGCCGGTGCCTGCACCGTGGCCCTAGCTCCGGGCCTGGGAGCCGGTGCGATGGGAGCCGGTGCCCACACTGTGGCCCTGGCTCCGGGCCTGGGAGCCGGTGCGGTGGGAGCCGGTGCCTGCGCTGTGGCCGTGGCTCCCAGGCGGGGTAGCCGGCCTGTCATCTCGCTCCACCCTCAGCCTCGTGTGCTGGGCAAGCACCTGCCTGGCTCCCCGCCCCATGTTGCATCAGACGTTGGCACAGACAGCCCTCCGGGTCTGGAGTCTGGCAGTTGGGAGTGGAAGAGACATCCAGTAATGAGTGACATGCTCGTGGCCAGAGGATGAGGCGGCTGACCGCTGCCGCCGCTGGGCGCTCAGGCCCGGGTGCGAGGAGCTGTGGGCGGCCCGGCCCTGCTGCTCCGGGGGTTAACCGCGGCTCTTTGGTTTCATTTGGAGGAGCTGGTGGGAGCTGGCCCCAAGCTCTGTGACAGCTGCGGGGTCTCTGTCTCCTCACTCTGCCTTGGGTGGCCCCGTGGCGGCTCAGGCCGGAGGGGGCACGTCAGGTGGTCCGTCTACATAAACTGTCTCTCTCTTGTTTGCTCCCTCCTGCTTTCTGAGCCTTTCTCGGTCGCACAGGTAAGAGACCGTCTTTCTTACAAATCGCTGTCTCCAGGCGTAATGTGCATGTTGGGTGCGGGGAGGGCCACGGGTCCCCTTGCCACCCTTTTCTGAACCACCAGCCTCTGCGAGATGGGACAGAGATCATCAGTGAGCCGGAGGGGGGTCTGCTTGCCCCTCACGGGTGGGTGGGGAGCCCCAGGCAGAGCCCACGTTGGGGAGAAGGGCAGCTTCTTGGGCGGGCCCCCAGGACCCCGCAGACACCCCGGGAGGAGCAGTCTTGGGAGCGAAGAAAGGTCGGGAACGGTTCTGCGTGAGCCTCAGCCCGTAGTGCGGCAGCTTTAAGTGTCAAGTGAAAACCCCATTCGGTGGCACCAGCTGCTCAATGCCTGCGTGTGCCAGGCCTGTGCGAGGGAGACACAGGGGGCGGGCGCCTGGCCACGGTTACTTCATGTTCCTGGGAGAGGGTTTTTGAAGGAACAACAGCCCCGCGGTCCGCGGAGCACTGCGTGCTTCTCTCTAGCTGGTTGCTCGGCAACGCACGTCAGCAGTGGGAGGGCAGGCCGGGCGCCAGGGGGCTTGCCCTCCCACACTTGTGGCCCAAACCCTCCCCGTTTGGTGGAAACAAACAGGCTAACGCCTAGCCTGGTGTGCAGATTCCGTGGTTACGGAAGGTGACGGGATGTGGGACGTGGTAGGCAAACTAGCCAAAAGAACACCAGCCGCCCTCGGAGGGAGGTCCGCGGGGGAGGCCGGTTGGGCTGAGCGGGGAGCTCCTGCCAGGAGTCTCCACCCCACGCTCCCAGGGACGCCCTCATTGAGTCCCCACAGGTCCCCATGCTTTCCTGCACAGGGGTCAGGGGGCGTTTCAGAGGTCAAGGCGGTGCAGTCCATCCTGGAGGGAGTCTCCACGCCTCTTCCCACAGGCGCCTCCTGCCGCCCAAAGACCTTCCCAGGTCGCCGGTCAGGAGGGTGCTCGCTCAGAGTGCTCCTGCAGGACCCAGCAGAGAAAAGGGTGCCCCCACTCAGCTCGTCTGAGGACGGCCTGGCGAGGGCAGGCGGGCCGCAGAGGTGCTGCCGGCAGGAGCTGGGCCAGCCAGACCTCTCCCCGGACTGAACAGCCCCGTCGGGCCACCTCAGTGTGAGCTGGTGTGCGGGGGGAGGATGCCCGGGCGTGTGGACAGCACGGCATGGAGTTCCAGCCGCTCTCATTACAGACCTGGAGCTGCACGCTTGGCCTCCACACTTCTCCATCTGCAAAATGGGTTCGGAATTAAACTCAAAATAGTTATTGAGCACCTACTGTGTGCAAGACCAGGCCCGCTGTGGAGACAGAGATGAACGAGGCAGCCCCTGCATGCTGAGTGGACTGCGCTAGCCGAGGGGCCCTGGGGAGGACAGCACCAGGCAGGCGTAGGGGCTGGCAAAGCAGCCAGCGAGAAAGCCTCATTCTGGCTCCTCGGCTGTCATGCTCGGGCGCCTCGGGCAGCCGGCTCCTTCCCGCCGCTCCGGGGCGGCGTGAGCACGCAGGGAGCTGGGCACATCCTCGCCCGCTTCGGGAGCCTCTGCGGGGCTGGCCCCCGGTCCCAGGTCCCACGCAGGGGGTCGGGGTCAGAGCTGGCTTCCCTGGGGAAGCGCCCACGCCTGCCGCCTGCCGTGCTGGCCAGGCCCGAGGCACCGGCTCACCCCGCTCGGGAGGAAGGAGCGCCGCCCCATGGCTCGTCCCGTTTCCTTCACTTCCAGGGGCGCGTGGCCCTGGCGAGGGGACAGCGTGAGTCTGGGCGGCGGCTTCAAGGGGTGGGCTAGCCCTTCCCCGCTCCAGCCGGCACCGCTCACTGGGCGGGGAGACCAGGCTTTCCGGTCCCACGTCCCGTCCAGGACCCGCACGGGGAGCTGGGGGTCTTGCTGGCTCTGTCCTGATGTCCCTACATCCTTACAGGCCCTGGGCGCGCGCGCTCACTCACCTTCTCTGTCTGTTCCCAGCGGGCCACAGCATGTTTGAGAATCCGAGCGCGGCCCTCCCCCCCAAGCCGCCGTCCAGCCTCTCTGGGCCCCAGGTGTCCCGGTCGGAGCCCCTGGGGTCCGTGGAGCCGGGCGGGCCCGGCCTCTGGGGGGGCAGCAGCCAGCACCTGCGGAACCTGGGCAAAGCCATGGGGGCCAAGGTGAACGACCTCCTGCGGAGGAGGGAGCCCTGGGGCCTGGGCGGCGTGGGCGCCATGGAGGTCAACTGGACGGCTGAGGCCCAGCTGGCCGGCGCGCCCGGCGGGGCGGACGACGGGTGAGTGCCTCCCTCCACCCCGGGGTCCTCAGGCACCGCTCTGTCCTCTGACCTCTGAGCGAGATGTCTCAGCGGAAGCCGCTGCTCTGGAGCACTGAGCCCCAGGCTGCGATGGGAGGGAGGGCGGGAACGGGTGCTGCAGGGGGGCGGGCGGCGGCAATCTCACAGCCGGGGTGTGTGTGTCGTCAGACAGGTGCGTCACTGTCACCCCTGCAGGTCGGCCCTGCCAGAAGCCGTCCCTCGGCTGGACCCGCCGCCGCCCACCAGCCGGAAGCGGACGCCCCGGGCGCTGAAGACCACGCAGGACATGCTGATCTCCGCCCAGCCCGTGCTGAGCAGCCCGGAGTGCTCCCCGCCCCCCGCGCAGCCTGGCCCCGCGGGGACTCCGCCGCCGGAGGCCACCGCGGACGGCGCCCTGCCCAACGGCGAGGCGTCCCTGTCGGTGCCGGACCTGATCCACCCGGAGGGCTCAGGCGAGCCCCGGCTGAAGGGCGCCCCCTGCAGGAGGGCCTCCCCGCCCGGCCCCGCCGAAAGCAGCAGCCTCCAGCCTGGCCCTGGCCCTGGCCGCCCGGCTGAGCTGCCGCCGGACAGCAGCCCCCGCTCCGGGGCGCGGACCTGCAGCCTGGACAGCGAGGGGCCGCACCCTGACCTGCTGTCCTTTGAGTAGAGCCCCCTGTGGTCTCCTCCACCCTCACCCCAGCTCCACGTCCCCCCACCCGCTGTCCCCACATCCCCAGCAGAGCCCCAGGCAGGTGCAGGGCTGGCCCCACATCCTAGGAAAAGGGCGGAGCCGGCTGGCCCTCACCTCATTCCTGCCGGCCTCTGCTGCTGGCTGAGCTGGTGGACACAGCCACTGGCCCCTGGGGAGGGACTGGGGGTGTGTCTCTGACTGTGCCACACACACCTGACCCCCATGTCCCACTCTCCTGCCTCAGAAAGGGGGCTGGGTCAGCAGTCGGGCTGGGTCAGGACTATGGTTTTGGCTTGATGATGCGCGAAGACGTGGAGACCCAGCCTCTGACCACAGCTCTGCAGGTCGCTCCTGGTCCTGTCTCAGAGGAGGAAGTCTCATCTCAGAGGAGGAAGATTGCAGAGCTGTCCAGGAATTTTTAGAGATTTTATATTTATACTAGAGGCCCGGCACATGAATTCGTGCATGGGTGGGGTCCCTCAGCCTGGCCGGTGATCGGGGCTGATAGGGGCTGTCTTGCCCAGTCCAGATTGGGGCGGCTGGCGGGGGGGAGAGGCCACAGGAGGTTGGCTGTGGGAGTGCACTGACCACCAAGGGACAGCTCCTGTGTTGAGCATCTGCCCCCTGGTGGTCAGTGCACATCACAGCCACTGCCTGGTCATCCAGTTGTCAGATCATAGGCTTTTATACAGAGAGATTTTTAGTGATTTTTCTAGTAGAGGACGATGATAATAAAATGATCTGTTGGTTTTGCTGGTTTGGTCTTTCCTCTGGTGTGCGGGGAGCAGTTGGTTTTCTGAATCTGAGGTGTCACCAGAAGCGGGGGGTCCGTGCGGCTGAACGGCACAAGGGGACCGAAGCTACAGGTGGTGGCAGTGAGACTGCCAGCCTGGGCCCAGAGAGGTGGTCCCCTAACTGGCCGCTGAGTACGTGTCCCTCTCCCTGTCCTGTTTCAGGGTGTCCGCATGACGTGCAGTAAGACCCGGGGGAGGCAGGAGGCAGGAGGCGGGGAGGGGAGTGGCGGCCGGTCTCCCTAGCCGGCCAGTGACTCTCTTTAAATTGAACGTATTGGGTGACATTGGTGAATGACAAGTTCAGGAACGAGGTCATAAAGTGACACCCATGTGCTCCTACCCACAGTCTAGTCTCCACCACCGTGTACTTGACCCTTCACCCTCTGGTTCTCCCCTCCCTCCTCTCCCTCCTCTCCCTCGGGTGACCTCCCCGTCACAGTGCCTGAGTCACTGCCTACATGAGAGTGAGTGAGGTCGCTTGGTTTTCGTCCTTTTCCATCTGACCTCACTTAGCGTGACATTCTCGAGCTCCATCCATGCCGTCACAAACGTAGCCTCCCCTTTCTCATGGCTGGCAGGTCCCTGGGGCACGCACCTTCTCTGTCAGTCCTCCATCTAGGGACACTCAGGGTCTCCATGTCTTGGCCACTGTAAAGAATGCTGCAATGACCACGGGGGTGCACATATCTTTATGAATAAATGTTTTTATTTTTATTTTTTGAGCAAACACCCAGAAGTGGGCTTGCTGGATCATGTGGTAGCTCTATTCTTTTTCTTCTTGTTGTTTTGTTAATCCTCACCTAAGGATATTTTCTCATTGATTTTAGATGGAGTGGAAGGGAAGAGGGGAAGAGAGAGAGAGAGAGAAACATCGATGTGAGAGACACACTGATCGGCTGCCTCTTGCACACACTCCTGACCGTGGTTGGAGATCAAACCTACAGCCCAGGTACATGCCCTTGACCAGGAATTGAACCCAAGACCCTTTGGTGCACAGGCTAATGCTCTCACTCCCGAGCATACCGGCCAGGGCGATAGCTCTAGTCTTAATTTTTGAGGAAACTCCGCACAGTTTCCTGCCAGCAGTGCCGAGGGCACTGGCTGCCCGCGCCTCGCCAGCACTCGCTGTTGGATGCCAGCATTGTGGCCGGCGCGTGCAGCTCTGCTCTGCATCTCCCTGACTCCCTGCCCCGCCCACCCAGGGGGCTCTGTGAGCCAGGCAGACTCTGCAGGGAAGGCAGAGCTGCCAGGACGCTCTGTCATCATCAGCCCGTCAGTGGGACCCAGAGCTCACCTGGTGTACCCTCACCCAACAAGCCGGGCACAGAGCAGAGCTGGCCTGAGTGACCCCAGGTGAGAACTGACCAGGCCTTTTGCCTCCTCTACAGGAGAAAGGGGGGGAGCAAAAGAAGAGGGGCATGGGCCTGTCACTGAGCTCCCAGCAGTCCCTGGCTCCACCCAGAAGAGCCTCAGCACCATCACTGACCACACAGCGGGGGCCTCCGGCACTGACCGCACAGCGGGGGCCTCCGGCACTGACCGCACAGCGGGGGAGGGGGAGGCCTCCGGCACTGACCGCACAGCGGGGGGAGGCCTCTGGCACTGACCGCACAGCGGGGGCCTCCGGCACTGACCGCACAGCAGGGGGAGGCCTCCGGCACTGACCGCACAGCGGGGGCCTCCGGCACTGACCGCACAGCGGGGGGAGGCCTCCGGCACTGACCGCACAGCGGGGGCCTCCGGCACTGACCGCACAGCGGGGGGAGGCCTCCGGCACTGACCGCACAGCAGGGGGGGGCCTCCGGCACTGACCGCACAGCGGGGGCCTCCGGCACTGACCGCACAGCGGGGCGGGGGAGGCCTCCGGCACTGACCGCACAGCGGGGGGGGCCTCCGGCACTGACCGCACAGCGGGGGCCTCTGGCACTGACCGCACAGCGGGGGCCTCCGGCACTGACCGCACAGCGGGGGCCTCCGGCACTGACCGCACAGCGGGGGGGGCCTCCGGCACTGACCGCACAGCGGGGGGAGGCCTCTGGCACTGACCGCACAGCGGGGGGAGGCCTCCGGCACTGACCGCACAGCGGGGGGGGGAGGCCTCTGGCACTGACCGCACAGCGGGGGAGGTGGAGGCCTCTGGCACTGACCGCACAGCGGGGGGGGGGCCTCCGGCACTGACCGCACAGCAGGGGCCTCCGGCACTGACCGCACAGCGGGGGGAGGCCTCCGGCACTGACCGCACAGCGGGGGGTGGCCTCTGGCACTGACCGCACAGCGGGGGGAGGCCTCCGGCACTGACCGCACAGCGGGGGGAGGCCTCCGGCACTGACCGCACAGCAGGGGCATGACGAGCAGCAGAGGGCCCAGGTCGCTGACCGTGAGATGCAGTCAGGCCGCGCAGGGGTCAGGGACTGATGGGACTCAGTGGCTCCTCTCCCTATGGGAGGGCCCATGGAGTGGAATCTGTTGGTTAAAGTAGGAAACACCGGGCTGGCTTGACCTGGAAAAAGAGAAGAAAACAGCCCCACACAGAACGTCCCCTCAGCACCTGCAGCGGCTCTCTCTGGATTTGTGTAGCCAGCCCGTGTCTGAGCACAGCCTGTCCCTCCAACTGGTGGTGGGGTCTTCACTGGCCAGCCCCTCCCAGAGTGAGGGCCCTCCTCACCCCAGCACAGGATGGACGGCCCACTGGCCCAACTGGGAACCAGTCCAGACAGACCACCTCGTGCAGCCCCCCGCGGCCTCTGGCGTCTGCCCCTTCCTTGCTCGGTGAGCATCCTGGGCCCGCTGTGCCACCGTGGTCCGAGGCCTCTGCAGCCACTGGTGACTCCCGGGCCTGGCATGGCAGGCAGGAGCTGAGTCTGGGACCTCGAGGGTCATGGAGCTGAAGGATGAGACTGCGGTCATGGTCACCAGCCTGCCCAGAGTCTCCCCGAGACCCCGTCCTCGTCCACCAGCAGCTACACGTGTGTGGCTGTGACTGGCCGGGGCTTTGAGCACCTGAACCGGGTTCCCTGCACCGTCCATGGCCCCGCCTGGCGCTCCCCTGTGTCACCTGAGCTGCCGCCTCTGGGCTCAGGCCGGGTGCCCGCTCTGTCTGAGTCCCGCGCGCCTTCCTCATGCTGCTCACCTGCCCTCCGCCCCCTTCCTCTCATTGCTGAGCTTTCATTCATCCTCCACACTCCAGCCCCTGCCCCTTCCTCCAAAACCCTGTCCTGGACCCCCAGCTTGTCTGCTCCCCAAATGCCCAGTGATGTGCGTGTAGCTGCCTCAGTGTCTCTCCCATGAGGCACTGAGCTCCTTGAGGGACAGCCATGTTGCCTCCATCTCTAGCTCCTCAGTCCCAGTCTCTGCCCCCCGCCCCCGTCCCTCTCCCCCTCCCCATCGCAGGAGCTTTGAATGTAACTCAAGGAACTTGTCATTTAACTTTGGCAATTCTGTGAAGATGTGTGTGTGCACGGACACATGTACGCGCACACATGTGCGTGCGCACACACGCTGCAGGGCGTGGAGGAGCTGGACTCGGCCCCTCCTGGGTCCCTGCACTGGAGGGGGAGTGGCGAGGGCTGAGGGAAGCCACTTGCAAAGTGCGAAATGCTGTGAGCTGTGTGCTTTCATTTCCATCCAGCCAGAGCCTGTGCAGCCCCAATCCCTCATGGGCTCCTGGCTTGTGGCTGGCAGGAGAGGGCACCGATGCCCACCTGATGTGCAGAGGCCACACTGGGTGCCAGCACCCGGCCTCCAGTCACCACTTCTCCAGCTGCCCTGAACCCCAGTTCTCATCGGGGGCTCTGCTGTCGTTGGGCTTTGCTGCCTCTTGTCGAAGGCTGGGCTCGCCCAGGGCGGCCCGTCCCCAGGGGCCCTCACTGCCCTCCTGCATGAGCGGAGGCAAGCCCACAGCCCCCTGTTAGATGCAGGGCATCTTCCTGGTTTCAGACATGGGATCTTGTCAGGCCATTTCACAGATGGGTAAACGGAGGCTGGAGAAATGATTGAGCCAACTGCTTTACAACTGACAAAGGCAGAGACCTAAAGGCCTGCGTTTCAAAGACTTGGGAGCCAGGGGTTCCCCCGTCACACCAGCCAGGAAGTCCCAGGAGGTGTTTGTGGCCCAGAAGCATTTCATTCAATAGGACCGTCTTCAGAGGTGAGTGCAATTCCATGAAACCCTGAAAGTCCAGGAGGAGGGAATTTAGAGACCCAGCCCAGGCCCACCCCGACAGCAGAGGGAACAGGGCAGATGTGCTTTATTCCACACTCACTCATGCTCACCCGTGCTCACCCATGCTCACCTGTGTCACATGTGCTCACATGTGTCACACGTGCTCATCTGTATCACCCGTGTTCACCAGTGTCACATGTGCTCACCTGTGCTCATCTGTGCTCTGTTCCCAGCAACAGCCCCTTGCTGTCAGAGTCACAGTCTCCTTTCCTTGGCGAGGTTGACAGAGGCTTAGGGAGTTCCAGCACCTTGTCCAGTCGCCCCACCAGTGAGGGACACACTGACCCAGGCCCCTTGGGGACATTTGCTCTTAGGGTATGAGTGTGAACCTGCTCTGTGAACTGCAGGGATGTAGCCCAAGAGCATCATGGGAGGATTTCTATTCACCTCAAACCGCAGACTCCGCAAATGGGCTGGTGTCACCCTGGAGGTAAGACCCTCCTGCGATGTGAGCATGTTCTGTGGACACGGTGGTTCCCATGGTGAGCATGTTCTGTGGACATGGTGGTTGGTGAACATGTTCTGTGGACATGGTGGTTCTCATGGTAAGCATGTTCTGTGGACACGGTGGTTCCCATGGGTGAGCATTTTCTGTGGTCATGGTGGTTCCCATGGGTGCGCATATTCTGTGGTCACGTGGTTACCACGGGTGAGCATGTTCTGTGGACACGGTGGTTCCCATGGTGAGCATGTTCTGTGGACACAGTGATTCCCATGGTGAGCATGTTCTGTGGTC